GTTCTATTCGAAACATCCAACCATCTTCACGAGCAAGAGAACAGGATAACTAGGATTTCACAATCATCTTCACTATCGACATTATGATTTCATTATCTTCTGCCAAAATCTTTTCCATTCCTTCCTCACAAATTTTTCTGACCCGTTTTCACTGTTCATCGTCATCTCATTGCGTCTTCATCTAAGGGCATATCAATTCGTAATTAGGGTTTTATCATCACTTTGGTAAGTTTTCTACAATTTAACGAGTTTTTCTCTGGAAACACAGTTAATTGCATATTATATTAGGCTTCCAGTAATTAGGATTTCAATTTCGTAATAAAAAGCTACATGAATTTGAAAAATGTAAGTTTTGAACTTATTCTTGAAGATGTTTGTGTGATTTTGTCTGTAAATTTCTCAGTCATTTGAATTTCTCTAGTATTTGCTTGATCTATGTTTCTTCTTTGAATTTTCTTTGACATGATTAATTTATCTGTATTTCTCTGTGTAATTTTCAAATATAATTCATTCAAATTTCTCTGCTCTATAAATTTCTCTGGCTTGCCATGTGTAATTTTCTCTGGCATGTATAATTTTCTCTGTCATTTTCATTTTCTATACTTACTAGATTTATGTTTCTTTTTTGAATTTCAAAAATAATTTTCTCTGTCATCTAGCTATATTTTACATATATATGTAATTTTACTCTCTTGTCTGTGTCTATGTTTCTTTGGCATTTATAATTTTCTCTAGCCACATCACTTTTCTCTCTTGTGTGTGTCTGTTATGTTTAATTTTCTTTGGTTGTCTGTAAATTTCTCTAGCATTTTCATATTATGGAATGGAAATTCTCTCTGGCTTGCCATGTTTAATTTTCTTTGGCATGTGTAATTTTCTCTAATATGTTTATTTTGTTCAATTCTTGGTTTCTCTGTTCTGTAAGTTTTTATGACATATTTACGTTGCTTTGTTTAGTTTATATTGCTAATTGTGGGATGGAAATTTTCTTTAACTTGTCATGTTTATTAGTACTCTGACATTTAATTTTCAATATCTAATTTTCTCTAACATTTATAAATTTCTCTGGCTATCTTAATTTTCTCCCTTATGTGTAATTTTCTCTGACATGTTCAATTTTCTCTGAAATTTAATATTGACATCTTTATGTTTTCATTCTCTAGAAATGGCGAAACGTAAAAGTAGCAAAACACCAGAAACACCAAGAAAGAAACATAAACTCTTTTAGTTATGGCGAAACGTAAAAGCAGCAAAACACTATAAACTCCTCGCCAAAAAACAGAAGTCCAAGGTGATGAAGAAACAAGCATCAGGATGAAACGGGGCAAAAACCTATTAAACTCCAAAGAAAGAGAGCTTATTATAGCATTCAATACCTATCCAACCTCTTATCCATTGTCTCTTTTTTTCAAACACTTAAATTCAATTCAAAGCTACTTGAAGAGCTTCAAAAGACTCCATTCTGGTATTTGATCCAAGCTCTAACCATTGGAAGGATGGATCCAACGAAGTCTAGGAAATCTGATGATGATGTAGTTACAATAATCCAATGTTACAATGAAAAAATGAAAGCATTCACAGTTGGTAAAAAGAACTTGACCTTTACAACCAATGACATGACCTTGATTTTTGGTTTGCAAGGTAGTAAAAGTGCCATGTCATTAAGATACTCAAAAAAGCCAAACACTGTATTCCTAAGGCGAAGATTCCCAAAGGACACAAGGCTCACTGGTCTTGTTCTTAAGAATGCCTTGGTCAAAACAATGAAAGGCAAGCAAGCAACTGACTTCAAAGATGTAGCAATCATTGTTACCTTGTACTTGTGTCTTACCTTATTTTTTGTAACAAGTGGGAATTCAATAGGGTAGGTTTTTATCAAGTACATAGAACATCTTGAATCAATGAAGCAGTATGATTGGTCAAAAGCAATCACAGCAACATTGATTGATTCTATCACAGCATTGCATAAAACTTCAAAAAAAGTTACGGGGTGTGTCATTGCATTGCTGGTAAATAGAATTTACAATTATGATACTTACAAATTTGTGTGTTTAGAAAAATTTAATTACTTCAATTTCCATCACAGTATTGGTTATGCGAACATGCGACTATCATTGACTCGAAACACAATAACACAACGGAATTCCCAAGATGTGCGAAGTGGAACCTGCAAAGCTTGACCAAACAGTTCCAGAAGACACCAATCCACTCTCTTGCACTTTGACAGGTTAGATTTCTATCGCCACTAAAGTCTCAGTGAAATTCCAAAATTTCTCTGACCACTAGTTTGTTTCCTTCCTTGTACCTTGATTGATTGAGATCAATTTTCTCTACGATGCAATATCTTATATGGAATAACTTACATGCCTTGACTGATTTACATCAATTTTCTCTGAACTTCGAATTTATGTTTCTTCTTTAATTACCACTGGTTTATTTCTGCCCTTGTAATGAATTTTCTCTAGAATCCAAATTTCTCTGACCACAATTGTAACACATTAACTTATATGTCCTGATTGATTTTCTCTGATATCTTAATTATGTTGGTTGTTTCATAATTTTCTCTAGCTCATAAAATTATTTATTCTTGTGTGTAATTTTCTCTGGCCTATAAGTTATGTGCCTTAACTAATTGAGATCAATTTTCTCTGAAATTTCGATTTATGTTGCTTCTTTGATTAACACTGTTTGTTTCTGCCCTTGTAATAAATTTTCTCTGGAACTCAAATTTCTCTGACCACAATTATAGTGACATTAACTTATCTGCCCTGATTGATTTTCTCTGATATCTAAATTATGTTGCTTGTTTCATAATTTTCTCTGGCCCATACAATTTTCTTTGAAGTTTGTTTCCCATTAGTATGATTTAGATAAATTTCATCTGCCTTATTTGAATTTTCCTCTCAGTGAACTTTTAACATTTCTCTAATAAAATAGTCTTCCATTACAGATAGATAACAATGAGCTAGTTAAAAACCCATCAGAAGAGTTTTGTCTTGGTAAAAAAAAGAAGAAAGAATCAACAAAGGCTTTGGTCAAATTCAAGGAGACATTAGAAGATTCATTTGAAGAAGAATGATGGAATGAAGAAGGAGAAGGCAACACAAAATAACAAGAAGCAAGCAATGAAGAAGAGGATCAAGCAAGCAGTGCAAAAGCGGAAGCTAGAGAATAAAATGAAGAAGTAGAAGACAAAGAAGAAAATGAACAGGAAAAAAAAAAGACAATGAAGAAGAAGATGAAGGCACTGAATCTAAAGAGAAATAAGAACATAATGAGCCGATGAACCAACATCATGATAGCATTTGTGGCTCCACAATGCATCAGCTTCAAGAATCTAAGGAAGCAAAGAATGCTCAAATTGCTAATCTACATCAAAAACTAAAGGCACTTTCTAAGTCCAAAATAGAAGAAGAGAAAAATTGGAATGAATTACTTGCAAAAAGGGACATTGTAACAAGAACCTTGACATCAAATAACTCGAAACTTAAAAAAAGAGGCAGCACAAACCAAATGAAGCTAGGGATGTTGGAGGTTCAAAAAGAAGATGATACAAAAAATAATTCAACAATTAAGGTATTCAATTTCAGAGTTTGAAACAGAAAATGCTAGATTGCATGAACAAATTCAAGAATTATCCGTCCAACTAGCAACACAACCTTACTGAACACCAACACAAGTTTAACCCCAAGATCAGTGAAAATCTTGAGCCACAAAAAGTTATGTTCTTGTGTCAACATAACTCAGAGAAATTTTTATTTATTACAATTTTCTCTGTCAATGGTAATTTTCTCTATATGTTAAATTTCTCTGACCACATTAGTTTGGCCAGTTTGATTTCTGTTGCTTAATTGATTTTCTCTGTCTATTTGCTTATTTGATTTTTGGGGCTTGTTCGATTTTCACCGTGTATAGTTAGAATAGAAGTGGAACAACAACCAACAACCCTGCAAGAACAAGAGACACACAAACAACAACCAAAACAAAAGACAAAAGTCTATGATAACTAGAAAATATTGAATCAAATAAATTCACATATTGAAATATGATCTGTTAATTTAGAGAAATTTAACTTTTACTAATATTTTCACTGTCTACAGTGAAAAAAGATCCTACATCAATGATAAAAAACTTAAAGGCAGAAGAAAGGAAAGAAAAGCAAAATCCAAACTTTCAATATCCCAAAGTTGTGAAGGTGTCTAGAGGTTCAAAGCAAATAGAGTGTGACGACCCCACTATGTATAATAATTAGCATTTAATTAATCAAAGATATTTGAATTTAATTACCCATTACTCTGATTTAATTCGGGATTTATGAAAATTATGGAGATTGATTCATATATGATTCTATTGAGGATTTATTTTGGAATTAGAAATTGAAAACCTAAGTGGCTCAAGATAGTACAAATGGTGAATTGAATTATTTTAATTTCGAGTATCGGACCATATGAGAGTTTAATTAAATATTCGATTTAGATTTATAAAATTTAGATTTGATTAATTGGGTCCGAATTGGAGTAAATTAAGTTATAAGAAGTAGGAATTAAGATTATTATGAGTTAAATTCATTTATGTGGTGCCTAATTTGAATATGTAATTTATTGACGAAATTTTGAGTTTGATCAGAAATTGAAGGCTTAAATGATTTAAGAAACCAAAATTGAGGATGAAAATAAGTTTAATTTAATATTTGGAGCCTTTCGGGAGTTTGATTAAAAATCTAATTCAGAATGGTAGATTTAATATAATTAATTGGGCTCTAAAGAAAGTCAAATTAGACAAATTAAATTATGTGAAATTTATAATTAGTTGTAATTAATTTAATTATATGTTAATTAAGATTTATTAAGACTAAGTGTTATTTAAATTAAGGTAATTTTATTCATGAATTAAATTAAGAAAGAATCTAGAATTGCGAGTGTATGCGGGTGTGGAGAGAAACCTGTGTAAGTGTGCTAAGAATTCTGGTTATACAAGTGTGTGTACACGTGTGATGTTGAGACAAAAGTGTGTGTGTTGGTGAGTTCTAGAATCAATGAGAACAAAAGAAAAACAAAAAGAAAAAGGTGAACTCAAAATGTTGAACATGAATGAAATTGAAGCAAAAAGGACTGAGAGAGAAAGAGGAGGATCGAGAGAGAGAGAGAGAGTTAGCTGCTGGAGATCCAACTCAAGAGCTCAAGAAGAAGAAGAAATAAGGAAGGAAAAGCTAGGAAAGGTGTGGAGTGGAATTAAACGGGAGTTCAAGAATTTATCAAAGATTCATCAAATTTAAGAGTTTAGGTAAGAAATTCAAGCTTAATCCTTATAGATTGATTATTTAACAACCAAAATCAAGAAGTAAATGGGTTTAATTTCATGGAAATAGAAAGAATTAGAAAAAGAATGAAGAAAATTTGAGTTAGGTTTGAAATTAAGAAATTGATGTTGTAATTTAATATTTGAGTTTGATCTTTGTCATCCTTCATAAATTTGAAGGTTATCCTTACATGCATTATGAATCTTCAAGATTTTAGAATTTAATTCATATTTATATTTTAAAGTTTATGAGTTTGGTTGTGATATAAATTAAGAAGTCAAATTATAGTTTGAGCTTGATAATGGAGAATTGATTGGATTTTGATAAGTGTTTTATACATGCATTATGGATTTTGAAAAATTTAAGATAATCAATTTCATGTTTTGAAGAGAAGAAGGAAGAAACTTTATAAAAATCAAGTTTATGGAAATTTGGGGTTAATCCTAAAATTAGACAATGTTTTGATTTTATTATGAAAGATAGGAATTGGTTTAATTTTAATTTTGAATCCATGCATGTAATTCAAATTAAAAGTTTTATTCAAAATGAACATATTTTGAAACATTTGTAATTAAGTTTTGGGTTAAAAAGTATGAGTTTTTGAAGAATGAGCTTTAATTTTATATTAAAGGAGCTTTGATGGCAATGGTTTAAAATTGATTAAGTTTTTTTAATTATTTAAGAGTTTGTATTATTTTAGGCAAGCCATGTTAAACCTTAGTTTTGAAATTATATTTTGGAATTATATTTTGAAAGCTTAATTCATATTTTAGAACTTATGAGTTTGAAATTGGGTTTGATACGGATGAAATGAATTAAATTTAAATTTGGACAAATATGAAAATATATTGTAATTTATATTTGAGAATCAAAATTAGTTTGATTTTAATTTAATTTTATACATGCAAATATTTTTGAAAATGGCCTTATAGATTCAATTTTAAGTTTCATGAAACAAAGAAAAAATTGAAAGATGATTTTTAAATGTGATGTCCAAGGTTTAAATGTGAATTAAAATTATGGAATTTTGAAGTATAAGTGAAATTAACTTCAAATATATGTAATTGAGAATGTTTTTTTGCATATTTGAGTGAGTCATGCATGAATTTGGAGCCTTGGTAATGTGTATTGAAGTTTAAACAACATTCTGGAAAACTCAGAATTCATCAGCGAAGAATTTGTCGCTCGAGCGTAGAATGCAAACAACCAGTTTTTTTGCAGACCAAGGGGTCCGCTCGAGCGACCAATGTTGCGCTCAAGCGAAAAGTCTTGTTTCAGAAAATTTTAAAAAGTTGTTTCATATTTCAATTTCCGTTCTCTTTCACTTCTAAGCATTCTAGACACGATTTATGGCTCAATAAAGATTAACAAGCTAATAATCAACATTAATTAGTTGATTAGAGAATAAGTCATGGACGTAGTAGTAATTGATTAAGAAGCCAAGTAAAAAATTGGTTTATTTAGAAAAGAATAATTTAGTAATGAAAAAATATGTGAAACGAGAACCCGATTCATTTGAATAAAGAAAGAACAAGAGTAGTAGACTTTTGAATTATTTAAACAGAAGACAAGAAAAGTCAAGTTTGATCAAGGAAGTGACATTATGCATCAATGTGTATATGTTATGTGTTTGTGCAGGTCACGCACTATTGTCTGCCTTCTCTGATTTGCTAGCGGAGCCATCTATGAGTAATAACTCTGTAAAGTTATGTTTAACTTTAATTATTTTCTGATGCTATGAAATGATCAGTTTTCTGAAAGGCGATGTTTTGTATAAATGAATGATTGTCTAAATTTCTTAAATGTATTCGTGGCATCCTTAGCACAAGGCCCTTAGGGATAATAATACCATGGTCTACAAGTACAAGGCCCTTGCCCAGGAGTAATAATACCCTGGTCTCATAGCCCTTGCCCGAGGTTAATAATACCATGGCTCAAATATGCTACAAGTTTCCCGGTACTAGAGGTTCCTTAATGAAACTGACAAGCATGATAACGCTAATGGATGTACCATGTATGATTAAGCACAAACTCTGATTTCTGTATATGATTTGAATAAGAATATGAATATGAATTTGTTTCTGATTTAAAATCTGAATATGCATAAGACTCTGTTTCTGATGAGAATCTGTTTTTGATATAAATTCTGATTTTTGACTCTGTGATAGACATCATTCATTAAAACCCTTTACTTTGTTATTATTCATTGGGCTCTAGCTCACCGTATTATTTATGTATGTAGGTGATTAGGCGCGTGACCAGGTCTAGAGCTTCTACCTGGACTTTGTTTTGTCAGCCAACCTATGTGCCTCCTGTAGAGGTTCCAGATATGCCAAGTGGTTTTGGTATTTTTGTACTTGATTTTTGAAGAGGGACTAATATTTTAGGACAATGAAAAATGGAATAAGGGACTAATATTTTGGGACGGAGGGAGTATAAATTATGATTTTTGACTCTGTGATAGACATCATTCATTAAAACCCTTTACTTTGTTATTATTCATTGGGCTCTAGCTCACCGTATTATTTATGTATGTAGGTGATTAGGCGCGTGACCAGGTCTAGAGCTTCTACCTGGACTTTGTTTTGTCAGCCAACCTATGTGCCTCCTGTAGAGGTTCCGGATATGCCAAGTGGTTATGGCTATGTGCATAAAATTCAAGTCTTGTTTCCTTGTTTTTGTTTATTCTGTATCTAGGGCGAGGTCCCTTCTTGTCTGGTCTGTATATATATGATGATGTGTAAATGTATGTATGTATAGTTTAAAATTTTTCTGTCTCATATAAGTCTACACAGCTCAATGGATGTTGTATAATTGTTATTTGCTTCCGCTAGCCCCTAATAGTATGTTAATCTGTCTCAGAGGCCTTTCGATAATCCCATGATTACTGGTCAGTTACAATGCTAAACCTATAAGGGTGGGTTTAGGTCGTGACATAGAGCAAACCAGCAAAGACAAAGAAGTACTTGATGCTGATGAGTATGTCTTGCCTCAACCAACAAGTGTCAGAAAATTTTGGATTTTTCTACAAAATCTACCAATTGCAAAATTGGTAAAAGAACATGTCAAAGATGTCTTGCAGCACATATCAAATGTGTCTGGACTAGAGTAAGTACAACAAATAAAATAGAAGATGACAAACAACAATTTACTAACTTATATTGCATTAACAACTATTAAATCACTTCTTTGTCATCTTGTAGGGCTTTAATCTGGACAAGCGAGTTGAATTTAATTACTTTTGAAGATATCGGAAACCTAATAAAGGAAAAAGAAATTGCCAACAATGTAAGTCTTTCATCAAATTTCTCTGCAATGTTCCATTATCCTTTATAAACCAATGCTACAATTATAAATGATATTTTTTAGGTCGTTGATGGTTATGGAGAGATCCTATTTACTGACCAAAGGAGAAAAAGACAACAACCAACTTCATTTTTTTTTCACATTTATGAGCTTGGTATGTTACTACTCTTTTATTTGATTTTCTCTGAAATTTACTTACTACTTTCTCTTGTTAAGATACTTTTTGAAGCCAATTGTGCCACTAGTTTAATTTTCTCTGGCTAGTTGCGTGCATTTAAAATTTCTCTATGTGTATATTTCTGAAATTCCTGTCATTTCAACTTTCTCATAACCATTTTTTGATTTTCTTTGACCGCAGAACTTCATCAAGATGACAGAAAATCAAACTTTCCGAGTCTCATTAATTGACAAGCATCTTAAAACAACATGGAGGAACTACAGGTTCCTTAATTTCCCAATAAATATCGGGGGTAATGAGAAGTCAACAGATGAAAATCACTAAACCTTGCTAGTCTTGGACAAACAAGATAATTTATGGAGGTACTACGACTCACTAAGGCCAATAAGGGATGATGCATAAGAAAAATATATCAAAGATGCAAAATAATTGGTAACGAGTGCGAATTTCTCTTATCCATGATAATGTTTATATTATGATAATTTTCATAGAATCCCATTAATTTATGTGTAAATTTCTCTGTTATTTAAAAAAAAAATTGTAGCAAGATTATGTGGAGAATTTTTTGAAAGCTTGCCTTGAAAGAGAAGCACAATCACAACCCTCTTTCAAATTGATAGACTCACAAAATACAAATTATGACTTTGAATATGTCAACAATGCTCCACAACAAGACAGTGATTCATAAGTTTTATACAACATCTATAAATAAGATAATGTAATTTGAATGTTTATTAAAACTAACTATACCTATAATTTGTATGCAGTGTGGATTGTGGCCTCTTTGTATGCTACATAATGAGACAATGTAGCAACCATGAACCTATCAGTTTGAAATTGTTGACACAAGACGTAAGGTTGATGAGGACAGAAATCATAGAGAGATTTGCGACCAAAGTTGGCCGGTCATGGATAGAACCAATTCAAATACCACTAGAAGAAAAACTAAGAGTATAATAGTGAAAGCATACTAGTGAAATAAAGACAATGCACACAATGTAATTAGGAATAACACTTCAATTTGAATTTTCATACATTAAAGGAATGATGATATTTTGACTAATGTAAATTTCATAGCTATCAATGGTTAAATATATATTTTTTTATAATGCATGCTAAGTGGTGATTGTCAACACAATCTGCACAGAGAAAATTGTTTGCAAAAATTTATCTGGTATGAAGTTACCAAAATTTCATAAAGAAATTTAACTCATATCGTGCCAAGATGGTGCTTATATGATCATGTAATTTGTAATGCACTATGTTGGTACAAAACAATTATCAAATTCAAAAAACACAATGCACACAGTAATTTTCTCTGCTTTTGGCAAATTTCTCTAGATGAATTTGACATCACAAAACACAATGCACAGAGAATTTTCTCTGCTAGCGATAAATTTCTCTAGATTAATTTGATTGGTATTATATACACACTGTCTATAGTATCTTTCAACACACACAATGCACATTGTAATTTTCTCTATTTTTGGCAAATTTATCTGGATGAATTTGACCTCACAAAACACAATGCACATTTCAACAAACACAATGCACATAGTAAATTTCTCTGCTATTGGCAAATTTCTCTGGATAAATTTGACTGGTATTACAAAGGCACTCCCAAAGTATGTTTTTAAAAACACAATACAAAAAGTAATTTTCACTGCTATTAAGAAATTTCTCTGAATGAATTTGATTGGTATTATATGCACACTGTCCAAAAAGTACATTTCACAAAACAAAATACAAAAGTAATCCTCAAATGTATTATTCAATCAATAAAATGTATTATCCTCAACTATTTAACAAAGGTTTCTTGCATGTCCTCTTATTATGGCGCTAATACTCTTACATCCACTACACTTCATCACCCTTTTAAACTCTCCAGTAGAAGCAATTCTGTTTTTCTTTGGCCTTCCAGCTGGTCTCTTACTCAATGAAGGTAAAATCATAGCATCATCAATGCTACACATAGGTTTTTCAACAATTGGAACTGGGCCAATCGAAAACAAGTATGCTTGACGATATATATCAGCATAAAAAAATGGTTTAACAAATGAATTTAAATTCTTTTCACTCCTAAAAATTTCAACAACAACATGTTGACATAGATACCTATTTATTTTCCATTTTCGACGTTAACAAGTTCTCAACCCAAGATCAACCACAACCGAAGAAAAATAATGCACTTTAAACACATTATCAGATGATAAACTCACATTCTATGTCCTCTCATCCATGAATGCCTTCTCTAACACACTATCCATACGATGACAGAGAGCTTTATTCCATTTACTAGAGAGCAGCCTCCTATCAGACCTCATATTCATGATTTGCAACCGTATCATGTCCACCAAATTTGGTATTAGCATGTGCCGAGCTTCTTGTATCCATGAATTGAATGACTCAGTAACATTTGAATATATTTCACCATAACGTTTCCCCTCAAAATATGCATCACTCTAATTTTCATATGATAAACTTCTCAAGAAAACACTTACAATGTCTCCTTCCTTACTTTTTAATTCATTTAACCTGAAATGAAATGATGCCTTTGTTGGTGCATATGCACATTCTGAAAACTTTGACACAATCGTCTCCTTAACCAAATTTGTATTTCCACATGATAACCTATCCCTCAAATTTCTCTATAGATGTTCAAGACAAAATTCATGATAGTAATTAGGAAAAAACCTAGTAATTCCTTCAACAATACCACAATGTCGATCTAATATGAAACTTATCACCCTTTCCGATCCCAATACTTCACATAAATGTTCAAGGAACCAACATCAATTGTATTTATTCTCAACATCAACAACGACAAAAGCTAAGAAAAAAACCTACAAAACAAATAGGAATAAGCATATTAGATAAACACATGCAGAGAAAATTAGAACAATAAACATCCAGAGAAAATTCACTGAAAATTCACACAATGGCAACATCCAGATAAAATTCACTTAGTGACCAACTATAGAGAAAATTCACACAGTGCCAACATCCAGAGAAAATTCACATAGTGACCAAATCCATAGAAAATTCACACAGTAGTCACCTCCAGAGAAAATTCACACAGTGACCACCTCTAGAAAAAATTCAAAGTATCAGAGAAAAATCACAAAACATAACCACAAAAATAGAAAATTCACTCAATTCTCATATGTATAGAAAATTCACATACTTAGAGAAAATTAGATAAATTTACAATTACCTTCGTTCCCATCTTTCCCCGTCGTAGCAAGCATAACTCCTTTGTATCATCATTTCAAAAATGTTCTATCAAGAAACAACAATGACCGATAATATTTGAAATCAGCAATGCATCACAAACAATCTTTTGAAACGCTTGTTATCTTTAAAATCTAACTCAAAATTACTACTTGGATTGTTTTGCAATGCCTCATCAAAATACCACCGTAATTGATCGAATGATAAACAAGAATCCTCATATGTACTACATTTGGCTTTTCAACCCCCAACCAACCACATTTATAACTGATTGAGACTGCATACTTGTCTTTAATTTCTTTGACAACATCCACTGAACGAGTTAAAGCTTTTGCACTTACCTCTTCAAGTATCAGCCCAAAAACTAAGCTGGAAATCATCCTAGCATGTTTACTAGTACGAACAGCTACACCATACGTATATTCATTGTTCAAAGTTCTTATGTAAAAGAACCCATTTGTTTTTTCAACTAACGCATGTACACGCCACATACATACCCTTGATTCTCTATATGCACATTCTGCCGTAACCCTCAGTTTGTCATTTTTAACATACGTAAACTAAAAACCAACCTGAATAGCATTCTTGCACAAAACAATATGAAACTCAACCACACCACCCTCAAACTTTTGTCCAACCCTCGTAATATTATTTCACCAACCAGCTGACAATAACACATTTTTTTTGTGAGAACAAAACTTAGAGAGTGAATTCCTTTCAATATCCACGAGCCTATCATATTCACCAGGCACAACATCTACCCAATTAGACCCCACTCCATCCTCTTGATTAGAAGTACTACACCTACTAACTGAAACATTAATTATATCGACGCCACTTGCACAAACAACCCTCAACATATTCAGAAAATCAATATTATTTCGAACCATACTATGACGCCTCAAAATTCAAGGATATCATAATAAGATTTAGACTTAAAATCAATATTGCTACAAATATTACTAACATCCATTTATTAACAACCCACAAAATTTAAGTTCTTAAATTTTCAACTTAGTCTTAGTACAAAAAAAGAAAAACACACACACACACACACACAAATATAAAAAAAGAAAACTAGAAAACTCAGAAAAATGGATCATGGAACTTTGGTACGCTTCAAGCTAACCAGGGCTGAATGTTGCCTTCCAACATCTCGATGTTTCCTTCAGTTTCTTCGGTACCTGGCATAAAACGCCAGGGCAACGAGAATGCCAATGAGCGACGAGCTCAATAAGATACTACAACTCGAAAATACCCACCCCGATAACAATACTCACAACTAATGAATACTGTCTAGTAACAGAATAACAAGCATCATTTAATAAGCATAACATGAATACTATCAATTGAAGTAATAACAATAGATAGTAAGAACAATGGCAAGCAGAAGCAATATTTCATCATAAGGAAAAATGCCAACTTTTCTTTTAAATTCACATAGATTTAGTTTATCAGATAAGCTTAAGTAACTCCCCGCGGAGCACTATTTTCATTCAACCGCTAAGCAATGGCCACGGACAATTCTGACTCCCCCTTGATCAATTATTCAAATGTTACTTGCTGTAACTACCAATGATGCCCACGCACTAGGGTTACGTACCCGAGTCGTGACATCACGGTCTGCTCTAAGGGAACGGTCTATGTTGTGACACTCGCACCACCAACCTTACATCGCCGACACCGATAAGAGCCAAAATACCTTCCCGTGCCATGTTAGGGTTCGCAACTTACTTGCGCAATATTCTAAACCGGGCTCACCCCATCACTTTTAAATTTTAATGTATCGGTTCAATTTCGTTTTTCTTTACTTCGTCTAATTCACATTTTCATGCATGTACGAGTTTTAGTTTGAAAACCACAGTATCATAATGTTTATATAGCACAACACAATCACGTATGGAAACCAAAATAGATATGACAAAATGTCTTAGGACTCATCATAAAGTTTCTTAGGAATTCACACACTTCTTCTTTTAGCACTGTATGGTCTGACGAAAAAAAATATGAAACCCAAATCAAACGAAGTTCAACCTTTACAATATTTTAACTGGTGCTAGTTCATCGAGTTAGGAAAATATTTCAAGCAGAATACCAGGGCTAAAAATGATTTTAAAATGGAGAAATAAATTTTGGAAGAAAACTGGTTTTTTTGGGACAGTGAGTTATATTAACTTCCAGCATAGGTGATCTGTGTTTGAAATTAAAAAAGGGCCTCAAACGGTGTCAAAAAGAGGTATGGTCAGAACGGGTTGCTAGATATTTGAGTTTAGAACACTTTTATAGAAGAGTTTGAAGACTGAAACCCAATGGAAGATGGTCAAATAATTTTTCTAAGAAAATTGGACAGATTCTGTCACATTTTGGAAAAATTGACGTTTCTCTCTCAATACTTAATAAAAAATTATGAAACCAATGGCATTTGAAAGGTGACTTAAAAATATAACCTTTCCAATTTGAATCACTTAAAAATTCATTTTGTAGAATAAACGGTGACCTGGTAAAGTCAGCATTGCTACTACCTCCAAACAACAATGAAGTTAAAAATATGTTTTGGCCACGAAACGTTGTCAAATAATTTTTTTTTTATTCTAGCACCATGAAAACATGTTAAAATACTCCAGTAGTTTCATATATTTATTAAAGTGTTCACATGAGTTTGTTTGGATTTATTCAAAACGGATTACAAATCTGCTTTTGCTGGAAGTTCAGTATTTTGTGAAAAAAACACACTTTGTATTCACCATGAATCACATGCAAGACTAAAAAAATTGTTTCTTGCTATTATTCCCATGTGAAACTCTAATCCTTCATATTTACTTTCATTAGTGGTGACAG